CTATGTCCAGTCCAGTTTCATTTCGACGCGGTGGATTAAGCTACCCGCAGTAAACGATAGCGCCCAGTCCTCGCGGGTAGTAAGTACTTACACATCGCTGTCCTCCTCCCCCCCACCAGTTGCTCCGGCGGCTAAATACGACCGGCGCGGCATTATGATGATGATTACACTTTCCTCGCCGCCCATTCTTACAAAACGGTGTAAACCGCGAGAACAAGCGGCGGCGGCGCGGCGGAAAAAGGGGTGTGTGTGTGTATGTCGGGGGTGTGACCCCCTGACCTAAGAGGGACCCGAGCCCTTGTTGTAATTAAGAGGAAATGGGGGGTTATGTTATGCATCCCGCCCTGGCCGCTGAGGGCGGGGCTCTGGCCGGCGGCGGCGCTGCCTTTTCACAATGGTTTCGCGGGAAGGTGCCGTGCGACCACTTCCTGCCTCCCCCCCCCTTCTGTCTCTCTCTCTCTCTTTAGCGGACATGATTGCCCTGTAATAGCAGGGGAAAAAGAAGAGTAGGGGGGGGGGTGGGGGGGGGGTGTAAAACACTAGGACCGTATGCCGTCCGGCGAGGGGAGGGAGTCGCGGGCTCGTGTTTGTGAATGTGTTCCCCAACTCTGGCGCTTCCTTCCGCTGCAACACACTCTCCCTATGTGCGCATCTCTCTCTCTCTCTCTCTCTCTCTCTCTCTCTCTCTCTCTCTCTCGCTCCCCCTTGCCGGCAACATGCAAAACCTCGCCGTTCATCTTCTCCGGAACCAAAATGTCTTTCTGTGTACCAGCCTCTTCCCCCTTTTCCTGCGTGCGACCCTCTCCCCTCCTCCTCCCCTTGCTTGCTTGCTTTCTTGCTGCTTGCTTGCTGCTGCTGCGCCCCCTGTGCGTGCATGTGTGTGTGTGTGTGTGTGTCTGTGTGTCTGTGTGTAGTGTTTGCACGAGCGCCCCACGGCAGCGGAGAGGAGAGGCGGGCGGTCTGCTTGTAGGCGCAGGGGATCCCCGGAGGGGTGCGAGCTTTGGCAGCGGGCGGACTAGGGCGGACCCGTCGTGGAGGGGCGGGTACAGAGGGGGCCGCGGGCAGCTCCCGGCTGAGCGAAAGGAAGGATTTCGGGAACGCCTTTGAATTTTCGTCTAGGGATCTTCTTTCCCCTTGACGTCCTCCTTATATATTCTCCTCTTTTCTGCCTCTGGTGGATAGACATGCGCAAATATTACAGCGAGCGAATAGTGACTTGCCTGCTCGCTGCAGCATAAGCGGGTGCGCGAGTGAGTGAGTGAGTGAGTGAGTGAGTGAGTGAGTGAGTGAGTGAGCGAGTGAGTGAGTGAGTGAGTGAGTGAGTGAG